TGAGCCATACAGAAGCACTGACTTGACTGAAATGGTGTTGAAAATGCGGCTGTTGTTGTTCACGCTTTATTCTGAATGCAGTAGATCTCCACACTGATTTCATATCAGTGATAGCTTGGTTTGCTGTCTTTCTTATCCTGGCTGGCTTTGACGTGCTCGTCTGTGCCACTGCCTGTAGTGGAAAAGATGCTGCCTAGATAGGTGAAAGAGACTACTTGCTTTAAGTTTCTCCAGTTGGTGGTGATTGGAGCTTGTTGTTGTTGATACCTTTGTTGGTTGAGTATCATCATCACATCTGTTTTCCCTACGTTGATTTGAAGTCCCATCTTCGCTGCCTTGCCTCTTCTGCCAACTTGTTAAATTTTGCCTGTAGATCTTCATGTTTGTGTGACACTAGACACAAGTTATCGGTGGCGAAATCTAAATCTTCTAGGTTCCTTTCTTAGTTTTCGCCTGTAGATCTTCGAGTTTGTGCAACATTAAACATAAATCATCATGGGCGAAATTCACATCTTCCAAGGTCTTCTCATCGATCAAACGGCGTATGCCAATCTTCTCACTCCTCTCGATTTGTTGCATGACCCAATGCAGTCAACCACAATCAGGAATATCCTGAGTGATAGTAGGCAGCCTTGTTTCACTCCCGTCTTCACTTCACTTCAAAGGCGTCACTGAGCTTTCCATTGTGAATTACTCGTCATGTGACGTTTTCATACAGTTGTTGAATGAGATTGATAAAGGTTTGTGACACTCCGTAGTGTTGAAGTAATTGCTTGCCAAATTACTTCTCCATTGACGCTGTCGAAGTCCTTTTTAAAGTTGATGAAGTTGAGGTGTAGAGTTGACTACCATTCTATATTCTGTTCTATGATGATGCTTAGTGCTACAATTCGGTCTCCATGTGATTTTTTCTTCCTGCAGCCAGCCAGCCAGCCAGCCAGCCAGCCAGCCAGCCAGCCAGCCAGCCAGCCAGCCAGCCAGCCAGCCAGCCAGCCAGCCAGCCAGCCAGCCAGCCAGCCAGCCAGCCAGCAGCCAGCCCAGCAGCAGCCAGCCAGCCAGCCAGCCAGCCAGCCAGCCAGCCAGCCAGCCAGCCAGCCAGCCTATTCTGCTTCACTTGCCAATGTGTCTTAGAAGTGTCTTTTGTCTTTACGAGCACTCTTCTTCACTTCTTTTCCTGTGTAGTGTTTTATAAATTGTGTTCAGTTACTCTTTTCATTTTTCATCCTTTTACTGCACTAGTTCATTTTGTCCTTCACCATCTTCCTCACCCCCCTCTATCAGCTTCCATGTACCCGTCGAGATCCATTCCATTCCTTGTCTTCCTTCTTCTTCCTTACTAATACGGCTGTTCATGTTTCCTTCCACATCCCTTTCGAAAGAGTTCCAGTGCTCTTCAGGGATTTTGCTCAATATCTCCCATTTTGTTCTGATGTCTGACCACGTGAACATGTGTTTTGTAGTTTCGTCCTTCAGTCCACTTGCTCTTCTGGGTGTTGAACTTCAACTGTGGTCGTCTATCAACAACTTCTTCCAAGGCTGTCATCTTGAATTTGGGAGAAGGTTGCTTGCACTAGATAGTGAGTGGTATGAACCAGCTAAATCTCATCTTGTGTCCAGTAGACTGGCTGCCTCTCCACTTCACTCACATTGAGGTGAAGTCGATCTGATTTTTAGTGTAATGTGTCCATCTGGTGAAATCGATGTCGCTCCCCCTGTGAATATCCTTGTGTATTCTTGTACACACTGCCTCGCCTCCAATCACCGAACAACTGAATGCGCATCAGTCTGCAAACAGTTCCCCATTCTCATTCATTTCACCAAGTGCTTCTCCACCCATGATGAGTTGTCTTCGTGTGTTGTCTGCTCTCAGTTTGGCATTCATGTCACCCCACCAACCAGGATGGATTTTGATGTCGCCATCTGGGGTGTGGTCTTGTCTAGTACTGATTGCATTTGTCTATAGAATTCCTCCTTCTTCTCTTCATCTGCATTATTTGTTGGCACGTAGCACTGAATGATTGTGACTTCCCTTCCTTTCGACTTGAGTCATGCTGTCATGATCCTGATCCTGATCCTGTGGGAGGAGATTGGTTCCCACAGCATGAGAGTGAGCCTTCGATGATCTTGGGGAAATCATGATGGCCACTGCAAAACTCAGTGTGCTGTGTTCGTGGTTGTTGTCTGGGTGACAACATCTGAGTAGATTATTGACTCCTCTCCAGTTGACAGTTTGGAGAGTCCACTTCCATTCCATCTGCAGATTCCTTGCAGATTGCGAGCACTCACATGCTACACCTCCTCATCTCTTTCACAATCTGAGCATCCTTGGTAGGTTGAAACATGATGCTGACATTGCATGTCTCTATGTTTACTTTCGCTTTCATCGAGGGAGAGAAGACACATCGGCCGATTGGCTTTGCGAATGCTTTCACCAACCGGCATGATTTTGTCTCTGGGATTCCGGTGATGAATAAGTTTGTTTTTATGTTTTATATTTTCTTTGTGCTCCAGAGGTTTCTGTAGCGATAGGATTGGTTTTACGGTGTAGGGTTACTAGCTTATGCCTATGCCCGACTGTCCCTCTTCACCCAGGCATAGGTCCTGCTAGTAACTAGGGTCTATTTAACCAGGCGTGGTTGTGTGGTACTCGGCGAGATGTTATTTCATACACTATGGAGGTCAATTCAGAGAAATTTCATTGCTGGTAAGTTGCGAAGTTAATTTTCCATACGCCCTATGGTGACACCGGGACAGAAAGATGAACTGCTTAGACTGATCACTCTTTGTCACGTTCATCAGTTTGACTGCTCCACTGGATTCAGTCATATCAGCCGCTGGTCTAGGGATTTAAATTTCCGTTCTTATGAACACCTTTCACTATGGCTAGGTAGACGTGTCGTAAAGACCTCGAACTCTGTAGGAATGAGTTACTTTCCATTCTGCATCCCGTTCCCATCAACTTACCAACTTGCCGACTCGTAATTCCTCAGTATGTACCTATTACTTCAGGACCTGACGAAGATGTTATCCAAAAGAATATTCTTTGTTCGCTCAGACAACTTATAAGTGTATGTTTGTAGGAGAGTACTCTGATTCCAGTTGATTAATTACTGATAAATAGACAATAGTGAGAAGTGATTAAGTTCGATTGTGACACTGACGTTGTTTTTATAACTTTAACCGTTTGAAGTAGCCGCACTTTGACAGACTTGTGTTAATGATATTGGGTGATTATTGAAGGTGAGATGAAAAGCTGAATGAGGGCAGGATTCCTACCAAATGTCTTTGTGAAGCTTTCTTTTTCCCTTCACCTTCATCTTCAACCAGTTTCAATAACACAAGTCTGCTAAAACCAAGACTATCTCAGATAGTCAATATGATGCTCCAGCCATCCAATTTAACTCGATTTCGATTGGGATGAGAAGTTCTAACTGGGCAGCAAGTATGAATACAATGAACGGACAGTAACGCATAACGAACTCACATAGCAGACGGTTTAGAGACATGGTGATTGAAGTGAAGTAAATATATGGTCAGTAGGTGTGTATGGTAATTCAATTGGTAGAGCATCAGGCCCAAAACCTGCAGGTCGCGGTTTCGAATTCTGTCACGACCAAGGTTTTCATCTTGCACTTAAATTTACTGATGGAATTAAATGTTAAGAAACACTTCGAGAAAATAGTAATCAGTATGTGGTTGGGTTACATTTCATTTCAAGTAGAGTACTGAGTGTGGAGAAACACTTTATAACTTTACAATAAAATTAAACTTTGTGGGGAAACCAAGACGGAATTGATTACTGGAAAGTACTAAACACACGAAAATGGTTGTTGATGTAAGTACAATAATTAGCAGCAAAGTAAATCAGAAGTCGAAGAAGTTTAGTGCAGTGTAGTTGAGGAGATCATTTCCTTATATCATTACCTTGAAAATGGATGGAATTAAAAAAAGAATCAATCAAGAGTTGAAAATTGTGATGAAAATGATCTATGTGACCTCGAAGATAATTTCCGTTTATGAGGTCAGCTTCTCATTGAAACAGTCAAAAGTTGATAGATGGTTAATTTGGATAACCATTAAGTGTATAGAACAATTTACACATACATGATGAAACAAATATAGTGGAAGAAGAAATAGTAGAGTTGTTGATCACATTTCTGAAGATATTCTGAAAGAATTGAGGTCATGAGGTTCTCATCTCTGAAAAGCTCAGTTGCTGGGTATCTAATTGATACTTTATATATGGCCTGCTTATCCTAATCGACAATTTCATCATGGTTTTATTTCTTTCGAATGTCTTTCACTATCTCCTCCTACCATCAGTATCATTTCTATAATATTTACTCTAACATTTTATAATTAACCTTGGAATGACTGTTTATCACGTCAAGAAACATAACTTTATCAACTTTACGAAAGTACCCTAGTTATAGCTTGAAATTCAGCGTCGTTGATTTGACCAAATTGATCAGCCACTATTGGCAAATGTGCTCCTTTGCAGATGTCTCGATATAGTCGGTAATCAAAGTTTGATATTAGAATGGATAGTAATTAGCAGCGATATCGAGGATACGCTTTTTGTGCCTGGAGTCGAACACAGGATCAGTCGATTCAGACACTACAGTGGTATCCACTAGGCCACTGAGTGATAGTGTTGTTTGAACATAACATGCGTTTCGTAGAATGAGTGGCTGCCGTAATTCGGTAGCCTAGTGGATAACTTTGTGTTGTTTGAAGTGATTACTCCTAGGTTCAAGTCTTAGCTAGGACAACATTACTCACTGGAGTGCAGGTATTTCGAGTTAATGGGGTCCAAAATAGAAGGAAATGTGCATCCTGTATTCCACTGCTGGTCACACTCCAACTTAACATCAAATTAACAAAATATGTTACGCAACTGAGAGAAATATTTCACTTTTAAGTCCTTATAGTAACTAGAGTACCGTGTAGAACACAAAATCATGCTAAATCCAATTAAATGAGTCTTAGAACAAAATAGATAATTTTAGCATTGAAAATATATGAATTTTTATTGTTAACAAATCGATATAATGTATAAAAATTTAGTATTCAACAATTAGAAAGTGAATTTACTCTCAAGTGACTTGTAGATGAATACACCTGAACCAATTACATTTTCCTGTACAACATTCACTATTGAATAGGCATGCACTTTTTTCAGGTAGACATTTTACACAAATTCCTTTAAATAATCCACTTAAATGACATGTAGAATTTTGACAACATGGTGCAAATATTGTCTTTGTACAGGTTTCACCTTCGATTTTACAATAACCTAATAGATAGAAAATATATAAAGAATTATGATATCAAATAAGTTAAGCAATGAAAGTCATTATACAGAATTATGATTTATGTGAGATTTACTACTTATGCATTGTCACTGTATTTTAGTTCAAATAAATGATGTCATATATCATAAAGTGATTCGGATCGAAATATTTTTTCTCAGTCACTACAAGGTAAAGGTATAGATTATTATGATTTATGATAATTTGACCTTTGAGTTCATAGTGGAACATAGGGTTTCAATAGCATGTCGCCATTTCACTCCCTTCTCTGGAATCTACTTAACCTGGCTCCGCCACTACCTATCACCTTTCATTTCTTTCTCACATTATCTCCTCCATGTCAACCTCACCTCGGACACTCAACTTGTCATTTCCCCATTTGGGTTTGACTCGATGGCCTGACCTGACGATTGAAGGCTCCGAATGGATTTCTCAGTCTGTCTTCAACCCAATCCGTCTCCGCTTTCTTTTGTAAATCTGTTGGCCAATATGTTCTTGGTTGGTTCGTTGCCAGCCAGCTAGAGTTTCTTGTTGCGTATTCTTTCTGGCCATTTGATCTCATCTTCAGTATTGAGTGAGCGAAGGTGGCAGATATTGATGTACGTCTGCAGTTTGTTGGCAATGCTTTGCATGACATGCCAAGTCTCTTAACCATCACATGGAAGCACTGACTTGACTCATGTTGGTGTTGAAAATCCGGATTCGGATGTTGTTCACGCTTTATGTCGAGTGCAGTGCAGTAGATCTAAACAATGATTTCAGATAAATGAAGTGAGTCCTGTCTTGCTGTCATTCTTATCCTGGCTGGCTCGACGTCCTCGTCTGCACCTGTGTCGCCTGTAGTTAAAACGATGCTATCTAGGCACACGTGGGTGAGAGAGACAGCTACGTTTAGATTTCTCTCACTGGTGGTCATTGGTGCTTGTTGTTGTTGTTGGTGGTGGTGGTGGTTGGGTATCTTCATCACCTATGTCTTCTCTATATTCACTTGAAGCAAGTCCCGTCCTCGCTGCCCTGCCCCGCACAGCCTCTTCTGTCAACTTGTTGGTTTCAGACTGTACATCTTCGAGTCAGTGCGACATTAGACATAAATCATCGGTGGCGCAATCTAAATCTTCTTATACGCTCTTTTCATCACATCGGTCAAGTAGTGTATGCCTGTTTTCTCATAACCCCTCACATTTTGTTCCATGATCCATTCAAGTCCAATCGACCACAATCGGGAAGATAATCGGTGATAGTAGACACCCTTGTCTCAATTCTGTCTACTGTCTTCACTTCAAAGGCGTCACTGAGCTTCCCATTGTGAATCACTCGTCATGTGGCCTCTTCATATAGTCGTTGAATGAGGTTGATAAAGGTTTGTGGTACTCCATAGTGCTGAAGCCGCTGCCTGCCAAAACGTAATCTTCAGGTAGCTGCCTACCAAATTACTTGTCGGTCGACGTTGTTCAGTGCCTTTTCAAAGTCAATGAAGTTGAGGTGAAGATCCAGTTGACTGCCATTCTATACCCTGTTCTATGATGATGCGTGGGGTCGAGTTGAAATTTGATGCGCACATGATTTGTTCTTCCTGAAGACAGCCAGCCAGCCAGCCAGCCAGCCAGCCAGCCAGCCAGCCAGCCAGCCAGCCAGCCAGCCAGCCAGCCAGCCAGCCAGCCAGCCAGCCAGCCAGCCAGCCAGCCAGCCAGCCAGCCAGCCAGCCAGCCAGCCAGCCAGCCAGCCAGCCAGCCAGCCAGCCAGCCAGCCAGCCAGCCAGCCAGCCAGCCAGCCAGCCAGCCAGCCAGCCAGCCAGCCAGCCAGCCAGCCAGCCAGCCAGCCAGCCAGCCAGCCAGCCAGCCAGCCAGCCAGCCCCTTCCCGTTGTAATTTTGAATGCAGAGAGCTTTTTAGTCTCTCCAGGATTATGTGGCTTAATATTTTGCTTGGGATGGACGGGGACAACAGCATGATTCCGCACCAGTTTTTGCAGACTTGGGTTCCCCTTATGTGGACGTTTGACCAGATAGTCCTTCTTCCAGTCAATCGCCAGGTACCTTCGCTTCCTTCCTTCCTAGCCTTCTGCAATAGTGGTCAAGGCGTTCCCGCTTATGTTTCTGCCTCTGTTTTCAGTGCTTGTGGTGGAATTCCACGTGGTCCTGCTGCTTTCCCGGCTTTCAGTAGATTTATGGCGTTTATAACTTTCGCTAAAATGTACAGATTATTTGTGCAAATTTCATAGGTCAGCTACTTTGCATTTGTTTAATTCTTCAGGACACAGAGATATCGAGATGTCTTATCTTGATTTCTTATTTTGCCAATCACATTAACTCCGTTATTTGCAGAGATTGAGACCCTAAACGGAAAAAAAGCCAGACAAATGCCAAACCATGCGGAAAAATACGATCATTCAACGAGTTGCAACCGACTGAAACGTTAGTAATAATAGTTTATCGTATATTATCTACTGGCTTAAGCAGTGAGTTTCCAGGCAGTTGGTTCGATGCTTCTGTTTCGCTTGTCGCTTGAGAAATCAGAAGGTATTATATTCTAGTGCTATTGCTTGTATTATCCCGTCGTTGATTGAACTCAATTTATCGGTCTTTATTGGTACATGGACCCCTGTGCCGATGCCTCGATATTACCTTTATTTTTAATTATGTATGTTAATGATGAATAGCGTCTAACAGAGGAATGCAGGACGTGCATTTCATCCCATTTGGGACTCGTCAGCTGGATGTACCTGCCTCCCAGTGAGTGATGGTGTTCCCACTGGGACTCGAACCCGAGACGGATCAATCCCGTCCCGTCAACTAGGATAATACAAGCAATAACATTAAAACCATACCTGTCACACAAGAAGTGTCTATTGTGGCTCGGTGATCTAATGGGTAACGCTCTGGGGTTTGAAGCTCTCGGTCCAAAGTTCGAGTCACAGTGGGAAATACATCACTCACTGAGGTGCAGGTACATCCAGAGAGTCCCAAATAGGATGATGCGCGCACCCTGGATTCCACTGCTAGCCACTATCCATCAGTAATATTTAGTATCATAAACGTTTACACATTAGGTGAGACCAAGAGCGTAGTAGAAGGGAAATTTGTTACAGAATCACCTGATTTTGATTTTGTATTTCAAATTTTTTTTAATTTTACCACAGTTTTATGATTTTTGTTTTAGTCTTTATTAAATTTATACCTTATCATTGAACCATAAGGTTAGAATACAACAGTCCATACTTTTTCACTTCTACAGTAAGTACCAACTTGAAATCAGTCAGTCCTCCATAAACCTCCAAATTGAATTACCGTCCACTGGTCATTAGTGAGGAGTCATTATTTATGGGGTCAGTCAGTCGAAAGTGAAGTGAATGCCGAACAAAGACCTTGGCGGATAGTCATGCCCTATCGTGAGCTGACAGAAGTAGGAAAGTATAGACCATTGAACTTCAGTAGAATAGCTGAACGGTCAACGAATATATTATGAACCCTGAAGGCCCTACGTTCGACCTTTGGAGAGGTTGTGGTTATATGTTGCTGAGGAGTCTCGAACTGTTATGAAACAACCATGATGTGTTTTCAGGTTTTGATTGGTCCTCCAGTTGATATCTGTCCATAATGAATAACAGCTTACTATCTGTCTACATTTTTAAGCTCAAATTGCCTATTCATCTGAAGTCTTCAGACAAACATCAATTGCTTCATAGCTGTTTTCCTTTTTAGATTATTCTTCAAGTGATATTTTAACAGCTGCATAACTTTTATTCATTTCATCAATTCACCAACTTTGAGGGAACTAAAGAGTACCTTATTCAAACTGGTTTTCATTGTTAGACCTCTACAAAATGAAGAGAATGTTTGAGAATTTCGATATATATTTCTTAACAAAAGTGTAATAAAATATGTCATAATATATACTCATTGAAATATTGTGAAGAACTAGTTATGAAGTAATGCGAACACTTTCTAGCTTAGATGAATGATCTTGATTGTGCCGTGTTTTTATGTGATTTGTTAAATTACACTTCCTTTAACACCAGTGCAGTTTGTCTTCAGGATTTTCTGTAAAGTCAAACCAAACAATTCAAAGAGAATATGATTTCAAATATTATACAAAGCGAAATATCTGGTAACTGATCAATTTAGGATGAATATGAGTTTTCGTAAGAAGCACGTTAATCATGCATACTACCGTGATGTTATCAACGTTTTACTGATCTCATTGGATATAGTTAATGAGTTTACTGATATTGCCTTCATTTTTACCCTTCCTTACTCTTTCCACCTTCAAATGGTCTTTCAACTATTCACCTTGTCAAATGTCGTATGTCTCTTATCATTTGCTAAAACGTTTGCAGTCTCTTCCCAGTTGCGAATCAGCACTGAGTATTATGTTAAACATGAAACGCAACCCTATTATTCAATAATAGACTTTTATATATACTTCCTAAGTCTTTGCAAGAACTGGCGTGGATTCATGCTGTTGTCCCCGTCCATTCCAAGCAAAATATTAAGCCACATAATCCTGAAGAGACTAAAAAGCGCTCTGCATTCAAAATTACAACGCGAAGAGGCTGGCTGGCTGTCTTCAGGAAGAACAAATCATGTGCGCATCAAATTTCAACTCGACCCCACGCATCATCATAGAACAGGGTATAGAATGGCAGTCAACTGGATCTTCACCTCAACTTCATTGACTTTGAAAAGGCACTGAACAACGTCGACCGACAAGTAATTTGGTAGGCAGCTACCTGAAGATTACGTTTTGGCAGGCAGCGGCTTCAGCACTATGGAGTACCACAAACCTTTATCAACCTCATTCAACGACTATATGAAGAGGCCACATGACGAGTGATTCACAATGGGAAGCTCAGTGACGCCTTTGAAGTGAAGACAGTAGACAGAATTGAGACAAGGGTGTCTACTATCACCGATTATCTTCCGATTGTGGTCGATTGGACTTGAATGGATCATGGAACAAAATGTGAGGGGTTATGAGAAAACAGGCATACACTACTTGACCGATGTGATGAAAAGAGCGTATAAGAAGATTTAGATTGCGCCACCGATGATTTATGTCTAATGTCGCACTGACTCGAAGATGTACAGTCTGAAACCAACAAGTTGACAGAAGAGGCTGTGCGGGGCAGGGCAGCGAGGACGGGACTTGCTTCAAGTGAATATAGAGAAGACATAGGTGATGAAGATACCCAACCACCACCACCACCACCACCACCACCACCACCACCACCACCACCACCACCACCACCACCACCACCACCACCACCACCACCACCACCACCACCACCACCACCACCACCACCACCAACAACAACAACAACAAGCTCTAATTACCATCAACTGGAGAAACTTAAAGGGAGTAATCTCTTTCACCTACCTAGGCAGCACTGCTTCAATTACAGGCAGCACGGATGAGGACGTCAAAGTCAGGATCGGAAAGACAGCAAAACAGGCTTTCATCAGCGTGAAACCAGTGTGTAGATCTACTGCACTGCACTCAACATAAAGCATGAACAACATCCGCATTTTCAACACCAATTCAGTCAAGTCAGTGCTTCTGTATGGTTCAGAGACTTGGCGCGTTATGAAAGGGATTTCCAACAAACTACAGATATTTATCAACGTCTGCCACCAACGCTCACTGTATACTGAACGTCAGATGGCCATGAAGAATCAGCAACAAGGAACTCTGGCTGGCTGACTGGCTGGCATCGAACCAATGAAGCAAGAAGCTATCTCTCAACAAATATGCAGTGGAAGGAAGTGGAGATGGAGATGGATTGGGCATACTCTGAGAAGGCCGACTGGAAACATCATGCGTCAGACCAGGAAATCGAGTGGAACCCAAATGGAAAGCGACGAGTTGGGTGTCTGAAGTGAGTGTGACGTGGAGGAGATGGTGTGAGGAAGAAATGAGAGCTTGTGGGTAGTCTTGGAGCCAGGGTCTAAAGATTTCAGGGAGGAGGGCGCATTGGAGTCGTTCTACTGAAGCCCTATGTTCCATTAGGAACATTAATGATAATAATGTGCTAATACTGAACAAAGTAAGTAGTTAGAAATCACTCAGAAGGATCTAAAGACTTCGCCAACCGGATCAGAGTGATATAAACACTGAATGATGGTTTTACTGGATTCGGGGTCGTGCTCAGCAGCTTTGTACTCAGAATAATTCAGTTCATACAGCCGGAATAGTTCAGATCATCTGAATCTGGCTAGCTGATTCGACTGGATCGATATATCAAGGATATGATGATCAATTTGTAAGTGGTTTACAGATTGCTTTTTGGTATTTTTCCCAGATGAGTAGTTTATCCATTGACTAACTGTGTTCTCAACAGGGTTTTCATCGAAAACCATACGGTGAAGATCATAGTGTATGGTCTATGACACAAGAGTTTCAGATAATCTGAACTAGTTCAGCTCTATGGGCTGGAGTTGTCCAGGTACACCACTAATGAGCTTGGCTCAAAACGAGTGAAACGGCTTGGGATGTTTAGATCGCTTTGATCTGACTGATGGAATCTACAGGCCAGTCAGAGTAGTTTCTAACCATTGTAGTTGGTTTTGTAGTAGTTTAGTTTATGACACTTTTTGTGTCAGAAATCATACCTTGTGACCTCGGCTGTGAGGTTATCAACGGAAATCGTGTTGACACCGCTGTTGAGCAACTGACAAACTACTCCAGTGTGAGAAATATCAACGTGGATCGTGGGATTTTGACATGATTTGAAAAACAATCATCCTATTTTAGACCATCATATACTTCTGGCAGATACGACTATACGGTCATACTGCTTTAAAGATTACGATCCTCAAAACATATTTTCTTTTCCTCTCTTTGGAAACATATATTTCCTGGATATATTCGACATTATGCGATGCAGTATTTATCTGTTTTCTACAATTGGGTCAAACTATGTGATCAGTTCATCTTCAAGTAGCTAACGTAACACTAAACGCCTTTCAGAAGTTAACCAAATATAAGGTTCTAGATTATGTTAGACTGAACAAGTCTGAATTTTACAAGACAATTACAACCATTTCTCATAAACTGAAATCAACCAGCCAATATGTCAGTTAGAATTGGTCACATCTAAAGTTATCAGTTTAACCAATGAGTCAAGTGACACACTACACAGCCATCAGAAAACATCATCGTCTAAAATTCATCCAGTTCATAGTTTAGTTGAACAAAAGTACCAAATAGTTTATACTAGTTCTAGATGTCAAGTTTCTAACTATTTTGGTAAGTGTTTTCATGGTACATTACACATAATAACGAGATCTAGTAAAATGCCTGTTTAATGGGATCCATCCTATCTGTAAATCAGATGGGAACAGTGTAGATATTAAATTATTGACTAAAATGGATAGATGTTGAAGTTTGTACACGGTTGTAGAAGTCACGTAACGTCGAAGCCAACTCCTAAGAAAAGTGTTCATATCACATTACCATACAGAGGGGAGTTGAATAGTATAGTTTTAAGACATAGCCACTAGAAAAACATTATACAACTAAGCTAACTTAATAAACGTACTAAGATTAGGACCAAATATGTGACTCTTCCTTTTTGTTCTATCTCAATAGGAGGTTTTTTTGTAGTCTTGTGGTAAATTTTAAGGCAGTCTCATCACGTGCACCGCCTTTCCTCATTTCTGCTGATCAAGGTGAGCGTAAATCTTAAACTATGGAATACTGTTTGAATAAAATTTTGAGTGATGATAAATGAGAAGAAAAACACAAACTCTACACATATGATTAATTCAAGCCCATGTCGTTCTTAGCATATAAAAAATTTATATCCTTCACACTCTGCAAACCTACAAAAATATCACGGTCTAATTATTCATGGTCTTTAAACTTTAATTAGTGCTGGCCAGATTTATGCTACGGTCTCTGTGTTCACAGTACTGATGGACAGCTTGGAATCAAACAGGTAAAGCTAATTCCCTTGGGATTGTAAATACTAGTCGCTGATGAATGTGAAGAGGCAAGAATTCATAGGTATAGCAGAGATTCCCGACGATTAGCGGCAACTATTCAGCATCAATCAAAGTACATGGTAATGTAGAATCTCCAGTCTTGATGACTTTATTGTAATATGATAGAGAGAATTAGGTCAGCACTAAGAATTCGACAACGTGAAATTGGAAGACAAACTATTTTCTGCCTCTTTCATTATGTTACCACTCTGTGGATTCCAGTGGGTGGTCAACTGACGCCACTTCACATTTCTTTTTTTTATAACAAATACATTAGATGATTTAATCATCAGTTTTCAACTTCATAGGGGGAAACAGCTTCCCTGTCCAACTTATGAATGATAAAACCTGTTTTCCATACATCAAAAATGTCCAGTTTTAACTCAGCAGTTAGATCTACCATAAGAGTATCCTTACAGGATATCATTTACAGTCTTCATCTGTGACATGATTCATTCACATTTGAACTTCGATTGTTCATCACATCATATTTAATAGATTGTTAGGATAGAGGATAATTTATTACCTTTTGAGAGTAAGTTTTAGATGGAGAAGTTGGTGAAGACCTCCATCTTATATCAAGCTAATTTTGATTTCATGGTGAAGAATGAAGGAAATAATACCGCTTGTTTTAAGATCCTTTCCATTTCAAAAAAATGGGTTGATAAGTAGAAAGGTTTATATATAAAAACCATGATGTACGTGAAATAGTTACACGTCTGATAAAGCCATAAACTAGGTCTTCTGCTTCCTTCAACTTATATTTTTCAGAGTCTTTAGAAGATCACTATGATAATTGGTATCACAATCTGTGCATTTCAACCTCAAATGTATGGAATCGAGACGGGGAAGGTAAGAATGGTAAATGGAAAAGGTTATCCATATACATATTTGATCACTTGTTGAGATAAGTGATACATTTAGAATTAAAGGTTCTAATAAATCATATCACAAAGTATCCATCAGATTAGAGATGTTATTTTATGACATAACATGCTTTGAAGTTGTCATCAGAAACTTTTAGAGGTTCAATGTTTTCAATTCTCGAATTATAATCTTTACACGCATTATATCCCTGTTTAGTAATGTTATTTTCTCCACTCTTAATTTGGCATACAGAAGTTTCTAGAGAGAGCCTGAAGGCCTCAAGAACCATTTCCTATTGGTTCTTTTTCAGTTTCAACCAATAATGGATTGTTATTGTAGCTTTTATAGAATTATAGGACTCTTGAATCGGAGCTCAATGTTCAATATTTTTCATTTTTGTGTTTCTAGGACTCATTGGTTTAGGCAGTTGACCTTCAATCACTGAAATATGGATCTAAACATCTGTCCATTTATCAAGATATAGGCATTCGGGTGGTATCATTAATCCTTACACATTAGGTTTGGCTCATTGTCTACTTCATCAACGTGTACAAGGTCAGCGAGTACGATTCACTGTATATTTCAGTTCTTCAAATTTAGATAATTTCGAGAATTGTTCAACATATTTTAAACTGCTGTAAGATGAGATTGTGTTATATTTCTATTTACACAGTTTTCGACAGAAGATTAGCATTGATTAACTAATTATCACTGGATTTCAGTGGATAAATAAATCACGCCAATAACGGTTCAATCTATTTTATCATATCTTATTGTGAACATTTTATCATGAAGTTGTTGCCAATGATATAATATCCACAATCAATTATATCAGCTTAATCGAAGTATACCAACGTTATCACCATCTTTATGCTGAGCTTTAAATCTTCTCTGTTGCCTCGTAGTCATATTAATTTCAAATAAAAACATACATAATACATTACTTACCTGTTACAGAATCGAATTTCCACCATAAAATTAGAGTGAATAAGAGAATAATACGATTTTTATCAACCATAATTTTTTTGTAAAATAAAACTTATTCCTTCAAAATATAGGGAATGTGTCTATAAGCATGTTTATATACATATATACATGTATACAAGTAATTCTACTTTACTGAATCGGTTAACCTCAAGTATTCTCCCATTCTTTTACATACACAATGTACGTGAAACTTTTGAAAATTTCACGTTTATTTGTAGACAAATCTGGTGGTTTAAGCCAAAAACATTACGTATATATGTGATAAAATATGGGTGTATTAAATTATTGTGAAACATTTTCATGGCTAGGTAACTAGTGAAGAAAATTTTATAATGCGGGATCATTCAATATATACTAATATAATATAATATTTTGCTCATTTTGTTATAATAAGTAAAGACCTTGAATGGTTACCTATAGTTGCATTTAATTAAATCATATTTTCATTGACTAATGAACCAATGAAACGAGTTTCCTTGGGGAAATGTTGTTTAATAAAGATAAGAAGAGATTTCAGATGAGATAATCATTAATCAGTTGTTGAATACATGGATATGATGAATAACACATGAAAGATGATCCACATCACTTATCGAGCACTATGTAAATGAAGTCAGTAGGATCTACAACTGTGAAATCTAGGATACGCGTTTTGTCCTAAATGGGACTCATCAGTCGCATGAACCTTCACATCATTGAATGATATTGTTCCAAATGAAACTTGAATCCAGTACTGACCGCTTCAAACGTTACAGCGTTATCCATTAGGCTGGTGAAGCAGTACCAAAGCTGTCTGCTAACAAAGGTCAAGGATTACGTTTTGGACGGTTCACAGAACTCGAACTTTCCTACCCTATTTGTGATATAGGTAGTAAGGTTTTCTATATATAAGTCTATATATATAAGTCATTTCTGTTGCATATGTGTTGTTTATGTTTGGGCCATTATCAGTCACCAGCATCACAAAGAACGTGGGAGAGTTTGAACTCTATGAAGCATATTTCAGCGTCATGGAGTTGTTTTGATCTACCTGTCAATGATAAATTATGTTCGAAACGTAATGTAGTAAGTAATACTGTCCCACGCTGTGAGATACATCGAATGAATCAAATAAGATGAAAGTAACTCATCCGCTTTACACTAGTTTCAGGGTAGGTCTTCTAGTTCCCATGAAAATTTGTCTGAATAAAGGAAAGGAGATCCATGTTGTAAATACTTCTTCTTTCCATCCATCAAATAAAGTACACCAGTCGCAAATTGTTCTACTGAGATTCATGTAAATGAAAGGAGTGCAAATGTTGAATTTTTCATGTTTCTAAAATGATATTTATTTAACTTTGTTAAATTATCGTCTTTTACTGACCCGTGTTACGGACTTTAATTCAAAAGTTCAACCTAAATGATACACTCCTCATCATCAATGAAAATGGAGATGTAGATATCAACCAGGCTTGAAATATTTAATAGTTTATGTTATACAATCAGTTGATTCAGAAGTGAAATATGAGTTTCCGTTTCTAAATCTTCCTTTGGAAAGAAGCTGACATGAATCTGTTCAAAGATACATAGAATAATAAACGAAATTTACAAGTTAGATGCCAATAAACATAAAGAGATATGGAACTCATTCATTATCTTTAAGAATCAGATGGATGTGCAAAGAAGATACAATTGATGAGGAACTAAAACGACTGATCAATAGTCATTGAAAATGGTTACCACTGCAGACTTTTTACTACTACTACTACTACTACTACTACTACTACTACTACTAATATTATTATTATTATTACTATTACTACTATTACTACTACTACCACTACCATTACTACTACTACTGCTACTACTACTACTACTACTACCACTACTACTACTACTACTACTACTACTACTACTACAAATTGTTTGGAATGAAGTGAATTATTATTATTTTTATTACTACTACTGCCACTAATACTCACACTACTACTACTACTACTAATAATAATAATAATAACAATAATATACACTTTATTCCAGACAACATGTATGATACAGTATGGAGTTTTCAGCAAGGAATATTCCAACAAATTCGTTTTCTGCATAGTGTTAATAAGAACAGTATGGAAAGCATAAGTGTGAAATGGGCAGCTAGTGTTACTTTAGCATCTGTTATTGACTCGGAAATTGACACAAAATCGAGTATAATTTTGATGGTGAAAGTTCAGTCAGCCAGTTAGCACAGAAATTCACGATCCTATACAGAGGTATCCTAGGAATAGTTATGTGGTGTAATTTTGAGCACTGATAAATCCATTTCAAACCGGCAGAACCTTTACCCTTTGTTTTGTTCTTAGCTTGAGAAAGGAAAGTTTGAAAACATTGTAAAAATCTGCGAGAGTATATTAAGCGCTCAAAAAAATTTCAAAGATTAAAACAAACTGAAAGGGAAGAATTTGACGGAATATAATCAGTAGGAAATTTTTTAATAGCCCAAGATTTAAGCAGGTCGCCTTTTTTTTTATCCATGCACATATTTAATCACTTGTTCAATCATATCACAAAGTATTCATTAGACTACAGACGTTATTTTATGACATAACTTACTCTCAAATAGTCAAGAAAAATGTGTTGTTGAAATAACATGATGAATGATATCGAATACTTCTGAAGAAAATCCCATGAATAAGTGTCAACTTCAAAGATGTTATAAGGTGGTTAAAATTTCAAATAATGGAATCTTAACATTTTTAGGAAAGATATTTTATATGATACACTTTGAAACATCTTTGCTAACTGGTATTCGACATGTAGGTATATCAAAGATAAACTACTGCTCTGAAACACTTCAATGTGTTCCTTCACGTTTACTTGCTCCTATTCAGCTTGCTAGATTGGCAACATGGAGTACATTCCTTCTAAACGCTGTAGTTATCATATCAAGTAAGCCAGAACTTTGTATTCAGAAAGAACACATATATGCTCTACTCATCCCGTGGCCTGCCACTGACTAAACGGTATTCCTTCGACCCTTCTTTTTTCTTTCTTAATCATTCATTTTCATCTCTGCTCTCTTCTCTTCTTTATTTTTAAAATAAAAAGATGGGTTACTATGATGATGATGATGATTATTGATGCAAATTTTTAACCAAATTTTCCTCCCGTCTAATTATAATAAACCTTTAAAATTTCTTTAGTGTTACTGCTTGTATTACACCGTTGTTGATTGAACCGAATTGATCAGTCTCTGTTGGCATATGGGCTCCTGTGTGGATGCCTCAATATTGCCTGTGTTTTATGTATAGTAATGATGGGCAGTGGTTAACAGTGGAATCTAGGATGCGTATTTCGTCCTACTTGGGACTCGTCAGCTGAATGCACCTACCTCTCAGTGAGTGATGTTTTTCCCACCTGACTAATGCTCTTGCGTTTGAAGCGATCACTCCTGAGTCCGAATCCCAGTGCAGGTATATCCACCTGACAAGTCCAAAATAGGACGAAATTCGCATCCTGGATTCCATTGCTAGCCGTTATCCATCATTACTAAACTTTAAAATTCCTATTTTTAAACAATATCACCACTCTCATTAACTAAATCGTTTCAAATATTAACCATCTTATGATGACATATCAACTCCATTTCTGCCCTTAGGTAAATTCATGTCATCATTCTTTGTACTAACGACTCACTCGATACAATGTGAAACACTGAACATTATTAATAACATGCCTTCCCTATACGTCTGATCATTAGTCAATGAGCTAAGTTCACACTCAACTTATCACCACAACGGACATAAATACATTACACTATTATACTCAATCTTAAATAATGAAATTTTATTACTATTTATTGATATACTTGTAATCCTTCTTTGTTTTTATTGGATGGGATTGTTCGGTCTCTATTGGTATATGGGCTGGTATGCGGATGCCTAGATATTGCCCGAATGTTAATTATGGTATTTTAGTTGATTATATCTAGCAGAGGAATCCAGGACGCGCGTCTCATCCTATTTGGTACTTGTCAGCTAGATGTGCGTGTACCCCAGTAAGTGATGCCTTCCCATCGAGACTCGAACCTCGTACCCATCGGTTCAAACGCCATGGCGTTATCCACTATGTCATGGAGGAACGATAGCCACTTCTTGTACAACGGCTAGTAGTTAGCACTATTTATTCAAATATACTTATAATTCTCCGTTGTTTTATTGGATCGAATTGTTCCACCTCTATTGCCATAATGAGTAACGCCTTGGTGTTTGAAGCGATGGGTAAGAGGTTCGAGTCTCAGTGGGAAAAACATCACTGACTGGGGTGCAGCTACATCTAGCTGACGAGTCGCAAATAGGACGAAACGCGCGTCCTGGATTCCTCTGTTAGCCATAACCAACTAAATTATCATAATCAAGTTTTAATTATAATTCCATTGACATTCCTTAATGCATTCGATGTAAAATCTGGTTATTAATATGTTAACGAAATTGATTTTATAACTGTAGAACCTGATGAGAAGTTATTGAAAAGAATATTCTTCTTTCATATTTAACTTTCAATTTAATTTCACTTTATTTTATACATTTCAGTTGAACTATCATTTTCATCCCATTAGACCTTTTGGGCAGTACTTGACCCTTACTTCACTTTTGAGAGCAATTCGTTCCTTATTCAATAAGTCCTTTTCTGGATTTGGAGAGTTGTGGGGATTTAGAAATTTTTCAAGTTGATTTTTTTCTCAGACTGACATCATTTGGAGGAAAATTGTAAATCTGGGATCACTGTACAGCTGAAACTGAAGGTCCTGGGTTCAAACCCTAAAGAAGGGGTTCATAATGTGTACTGTTGAAGAGTCCCATACTAGTATGAAACAGTTACCCTGCGCTCATGGGTTTCCAATGATCCTCCAACTGATTTCATTCCACGATAAATACTAACTTGAAAGAAAAAAAGCCCTTTTTTGTTTCTTCCACTTGAACAAATCACTCCACCAAATGTATCAAGCATATATTGAATGAGCAGCTTTTTAGTCGATTTATCTGACATTTTACTGATTGTAAATACGACTGTATAGCTGGATAATGAAGTCGTTAAAAAGAAACTTTTTCACTGATGAATATCTTATTCTCATTTCTTTGTGAATAGATGGGTGGATTTTCTCAGTATTATGTGACA